GATCATGGGATCACGTTTTAGTTGAACATGATCCGAGTCTTCTTCAGATTTAATTTTAGTCTGCCATGATGCTAGCGTCGTTTAGCTCTTTGATTAATCTCCGCGTTCTTCTGGAAACCTTGTGAAGATGAAATTACTGTTAGCAAAACGTTGGTGGTTGATTGAGTGTCTGTCTCCAGTCCTCGAGTTTCTCGATGTAGTCCTTTAAGTATCTCTATGCCAGCTATGCATAACTTTGCTGATATTGCCTCATCTCATTCGATTAGGCACCCTTTACGATTTTGATCTGGCCTTTTTTTCCTGAACACTTTTCTTGTTCACACAACCGCTGCATTCTTGTAAATCATTCTTATGATGTGTGTATCAGTTTTCGATTCTACGAGTTCATCAGGTCGTCAAATACAAGTCAGGTGCGATATGAGTTGAAAGCCCTCCCGAAATCAATGAATCTCAGGCAGTGAGGAACGTGATATTCGTTACTTCTCTGAATCACTTGCTATGCCACCTGAAGATGATCCACTACGCTAAATCCGCATCTCAATCCTACGTGCTCCTTTAGAGAGTTTGGTTTTTCCAAAAATCCGTTCGTCGCTGATTTGGTGAAGATGCCGTAGATGACTGGCAGCAAACTAATCGGTTGTAGTTTTTCAAATCCTTGATGTCTCTCTTTTTGCATACTAAAATCACTTCGGAAGTAAGACTGCATGATGAACAATTTACCATGTTGTGTTCCATTTTTCCTAGGTTTGAAGCCATTGGCGCAACGTGGTTTGCGGCTTCTTTCTCTCAAGCACTTAAATCGCCACCTTCAGTCCGTACAACAGAAAGGGGGGATGTTTGAGTTATTGACTCTGAGCCAATTTTTGGGATTGCAGATAAATTCTGGGTCCGTGGTTGATGACACTAAACAAAGCCGATGGATGGTGAAGGTTTTTATTGTTTATGTTCTGACCCTTCAGCTAGTGTTGTAGCGAAACGCATTGGCTATACAAGCGTTTTTACCAACTATTTGCTTTGTTGGCGCCCTTAACGATGTATCAGTAAGTTTGATGATGGTAAGATTTTACCCAGTCTTCAGACTTAACCTTCTGCACCTTTAGTCTGAGGATGTGTCAATCAATTACAAATCAATCACAGATGAATGTCGACTGTAAGTGAGCGAACGAGAGGGGAATGTTTGCTGCAATGAGTTTGTCGATATCGATGTTCTCCGCCGGTGTTCAACGACAGGACAACGGTCAAAACGGAGATTAGCCCCGCGGAACATGGTCGTGTACGTAAATTGATAGTGGACGTCGCCAGTCGACGATTAGTCCGTCATAAACTGACCACTGTTCATGGGTGGATGCTTTTCATCGCGATCGGTCGGTCGACCGACCCTGACCCTCCCGGCTGAAGGACGCGTCCCTCGCCTAGCCTTGCCCCGGGCGTTGACTGGCGCTCGTCAGGCGAGCGGGCGGCGGTGGTGTGGCGTGTTCGCCACCGCGACAACGACTACTACTTCAAGTGGTGGGGCTTATTTTAGTCGGTCGGTCAGGTGGCGGTACTTCTAGGCAACACGGCGGTTGTCTAACCTCTCATGACCACTTTTTAGGAAGCAGTTGGTGCGTCTCGGTCTCGCATCGATCGATCCGCGCCGTTAGCGTCGTCGCCGCCAGTTTCCAGTCTGCCGTCCCGTCCATACATCCACCCGTCAGCCCTGCACGCCGCAGACCTTCTCGTTCTTTCCTCGTCGAGTCTCTCTGCCTCCCTATCTTTCACTCGGGCGCGTCGCATTCGCTGAGGCTCCCGGCGTCTGTGTCTACGACAAGCGAGGCTCCTTGCCTCGTCCTCTCGTTTCGCCCCCAGTGCAACGGATATCAACTTGCAGCTTCCCTCGCTAACGAAACAATCACGACTCTTCATTCCTGATGCTATGCTCGGATTAACGCTATTTGTTAGATGGCCACATCCCCAACAAGAAGATCATTTGTTTTTGGACCAATCTTCGGAGAACAGTCGGTATTAAACTTCGTCACAGCCGATTAGCACTTTAAATCAAACTCATTTCATTTCACGACCAGTGACCGCTTTCCGCTTTCTTACAACGGGAATGAGCCAGAGATAACGTACGCCCGACAACGCAACGTATCGTAATCAGCTGAGTGATTTGCAGGTACAGGTGGTGGCATTCATGAAGAAGCGGCAAAGACGCGGAGACGCAGGAGGAGACACTGGGCAAAGACGTGTCCCGTTGTTCTCTTTCAAACTGTGCGAGTGCGATTCAGTTCCTTCCTCCTCTAATAACGTATCCAACCGACCTCAACACTCTGTGTAACGACCGCCGGATGATTCAGTAAAAAATTTGCATCTCACTGATCCATCTGTAATGTGGCCATGCACCGCCGCGTCAGTTTATCGGAATCAAGGTGCCAGGAACTGCGGTTCGAGGCGAAAGGTCAACGAGGTATCGGATACTATGCAGTTCAAAATGATGGTGAGGACCCGAGGGTCATCGACCGACCTACCGACAGATTGACGACCGATGATCAGCCGACGGACCGACTGACGGCGTTGCTCGGTGATATCGACTTTCGCACACATGCCGCCGTCGAAGTGAAGTCGTCGAAGTCTCGATCCGTCGTTCCTCCGTCCGTCGTCTGCCCGTACGTCCTCGTGTTCCTCAACCGACGACGGCGTGCGGTTGGTTTCAGTTATTGACTATTACCCTTCGTAGAATTTCCGAGCGTTGCCGCAGCCGCCACCGCCACCGCAACCTCTCCTCCTCTTTTCTCTCCTCTCTCCTCGTTCCTCGTTCCTCGCTCCTCTCCGACGCCCGTTCGCCCGTCCCGCCCTTGTCTCTGTAACGTGTGCTTCAGCTAATCGAATCCTGCCTCTTACTCCTCCGCCGTAGCCGTCGCCACCGCCGTCGCTTCCACCACGGCCTCAGCTGTGCTGCCGTTATCGTTGTCGATGTACCAGGCAACACTTGGAAACGGGAGGAGCGAGGAACGAGGATTCGAGACCTGAGGCGATGAACGATTACCGAAATGTCTGTGGTGTATGTATAGGTGCTGGACGAGTCAGACGACGGCCGGCCTCCCACATCACTGACGGATGCAGGTGGCCGCAGGCAAAAGGTCGGTCGGTGAGTGACCACTGGACTCGA